CAAAACATTAAAATATATTGGAAATATTAATCAATATATTACCCAATTTTAAGACCTTAACATCCAAGTTCAAATCAAAGGATCTGATCTACAGGAAACTATGTTCCAAACCCTGCCTAAAAATATCTTTCACCTAATCTACATATAAAATGGAGAAATCCCAACCATGGATGCTAAGTTTATCTCTGTTATTAAAAAAGCCAGAAAAATTTATAAAGCTAAGAAAATAAACCCTACCATATCAAAAAAAGATAAGTCTGGTTCCAAAGAACTGAAAAAGCTAGATAAGACAAAGGCTTACAATCAGAAGCAAACCGGCAATCAAAGGGTAAAAAACTAGCTTATTAATAATATTAAACCCTTTCTCTAAACTAATATTCAAAAGGTCCTTGAAAGAATTAAATAAAAAGACATTAATAAATTCAAAAAAACCAAGGCATAATATATTTGATATGGAAGAGATAACCACAAAATATAAAACTGTTATATATAAAAAAACATTAATAAAAGAAATTTATCATAAGTATCAATAAAGATCACAACCATTAACACTAAGAGATAATATAAAAAAACAAATATTAAAACATTAGAAAAACCTGATATAAAAAGGTTAAAAAATGTAATTACTGTAATAGCTTTCATCTCATATCCCAGGATTACCAAAACCAAAAATAATAAAGAACTTGAAAACCTAGTGGATTTTCAATAGGCCATCTTATAGTACCAACTGAAGAACTATAGCCAAATAGTATAAGAATTATAAAAGTTAAAAGATTAAATAATGGATTAACCCTTCTAGGAAAGAAGTCCATAATTGGTAATCAACCTATTATGGGAATGATAATCTTTAATAATAAATAAAAGATCTTCACTCATATCCTAGTAGATTCCGGAAACTTGGTACCCTTAATTAATCACAATTTTACCAAAAAATATAAGATCCCTGTTATTCAATAAGCTACTCCCATATAGATAAAAACTTTCAATAATAAAATAACAAAAGAAACCGGATTCTTTTACATCGAACCACTTACCCTTAAATAGGAATCTTATTATAATTAATTATCATTTAAAATATCTCCTATTAACTTAAAATATAATGTTATACTTTTATATTGATGATTTGTCAAATATCAATTATTAAATCTCTAAAATAATCAAAGAAAGGATGTTATATTTAAATCCATTTATTATAAAAAGAATTATATATGAGTAACCCTTAATAATATAACCTTTATATATAATAAGAATATTATATATAACCTTGATATATGTATAATTGGATCTATTAACTTCATTAAAAAAAAAAAACCAATGTTAATAATAATTCTAGAAAAGTTCTAATAATATATTGGAATCATAATTAAAGAATTAACAAATAAGCTCCCCCTTTATCAACCTTATAACCATGTTATAGACCTAATTAATAGAAAATAATCTTTATAGGGTCCTATGTATGTCTTTAATGAAAAAGAATTAAAAACCTTGAGAATATGGTTTGAAAAAATATTCAACATAGGAAAAATCTGTTATTCTAAATTTTCAACAGTATCCCTAATCCTATTTGTTCTTAAATCTTATAAAAAAAAATTAAGGTTATATATTAATTATAGAGGCCTAAATTATATTATTAAACCAAATCAATATCCCTTTCCCTTCATTTATGAACTATAAGATTATGTCAGAATAACAAAACTCTTTACCAAATTAGATCTAAAAAATAAATTCTATTTCATTAAAATTAAAAAAAATAACAAATGGAAAATTACCTTTAAATACAGATATGGATTATTCAAATTCATTATTATGTCATTTAATTTTATCAATACATCTATTACCTTTTAAAATATAATAAATTATATCCTTAAAGATCTTCTCAACAAAGGTATTATAATCTATATCAATAATATTTTTATATATAGAGAAAACATAAAAAAACATAATAAATTAGTTAAAAAGGTTTTATAAAGGTTAATAAATAATAGATTATTAATTATGCCTGACAAGTATATTTGGCAGACTCAGGAGGTAGATTTTTTAGGATATATTATCTCTCTAGATGGGGTTAAAATGTCACAAAAAAAAGTCTAAATAATCATGGAATGGCAAAAACCCAAAAACCTTAAAGATACCTAATCTTTTATTGATTTTGTAAACTTTTATTGGTAGTTCATTAAAGATTTTTCCAAAAAAATAAAGCTGTTAATAAGTTTAATTAAAGAAGAAACCTAAGATTAGGTTTAAACCTTAGATATGGCTAATTTATTTAAAATATTTAAAAAGGCTTTTACTATTACACCTATATTAATACATCCAGATCTTTTAAAGAAATTCTAGCTTAAAATTGATGTATCTAATTATATATTAGAAGTAATCCTATCCCAAATTAAAGATAATAAAAAACTATACCTTATAGTTTTTTATTTATGTAAATTCATTCTAATTAAGATTAATTATAAAATCTATAATAAAGAGCTTTTAGCCATCATTGATAGTTTTAAATAATGGTGATAATATTTAGAAGGAACATGGTATATGATTTAAGTCTATTCTAATCATTATAATTTTACCTATTTTATAATTATATAAATCCTAAATAGAAGATAAGTAAAATAGGTGTAAAAAATTGTAGGAATAAATTTTATTATCCATTTCAGACCTAGAAAAAATAATATTAAATTAAATATATTATTTAGGTATCCAGAGTATCATTTAAAAAAAAAGGGAAATAAATATTAGCCTATTAAAATAATATTATAAAAAAAGCATTTTACAAAGTTATATAGATCTTTAATGTTAATGTCATCTCTGAGAATCCAGAGTATTCTTTATATGGAATGGAATATATCCTTTTTAGAAGAAGTTTAGAAGGTGGTAGAAAAGGATGAATTATATTAAGAATGATTTAAGTAACCTAAAAAATTTAATTATATTTTAAATTAAGGGTTATTATATTACAAATATGGATTATGGATATCTAATGATCTTAAGCTAAAACATAATATCTTCAAATTAGAATATAATATTAAAATAGCAGGATATATGGGTTAAATCAAAATAGTTAAACTTATATGATAAAATTTCTAATGGCCAAAAATAGATGTTAAGATTAAACAATATATGGAAGGTTATCTAGATTATCAAAGAAATAAGGTACTAAGATACTTACCTTATGGGAAATTATAACCCTTAGAGTTACTTTATATCTTATGATAATTAGTTTTTATGGATTTTATTATAAACCTACCTATATTAGAAGATTATAATCAGTTCTGGGTAATAATAAATTACTTTACTAAGATAACCCATTTTATTCCATTCAAATAAAGAAAATAGAAGACTAAACATTTAACCCAAATCTTTATTAAAGAAATATAAAGAATATATAACCTATCTTTAAATATAGTCTCAAATAAAGATTCACATTTTATATTTAGCTTCTAGAATTCCCTTTTAAGACTATTAGGGATCAAACCTTAAATAAGCATAGCATTTTATCTTTAAACTGATAGGTAGACTAAACAAGTTAATTAAATCATTAAAACATATTTATATACTTTTATCAACCAAGAAATAAATAATTAGGTAGAATTATTACTAACAATTAAATTTACCTACAATAATATATAATCCTCTTCATCCCAGATAACATCCTTTTACACTAACTATGGATATTATTTTATAACAAACAATCCCCCATAAAAAAGATATAAATATCCCACTAATGAACTATATACTTATTAGATAATTAAATTTTACAAAGAAACTTAAATAACACTTAAGGAAGCCTAAAAAAAGATAAAGAAATATACAGACAAGAAACAAAAAAATGTCCCCAAATTTAAAAGGGATTAATTTATAATACTAAATAAAAAGAATATCAAAATTAAAAGATTTACCAAAAAACTCAACCACAAGTTATTAAACCTTTTCCAGATTTCTAAAATAATATCACCTACCACTATAAAACTTAAACTCCCCATAAAATAACAAATCCACAACATATTTTATATCTCATTTATTAAGCCATATTATTCCAGGGATTACTTTTTATCAGACCTTATAATGGTCCTAAAGAAAACTGATAAGGCTGAAACAGTAGATAGATATAATGTGAACAAAATCATAGATTCAACCAAAACAGATAAAAAAATAAAATATCTTGTTAAATAGGAAGGATAGCCAAGAAAAAAAGATTAGATTTAAGAACCTTATAAATATTTCTACAAACCTGTTCGAATATTTTTGTGATGAACCTATGCCTTAGAGAGGTATAGTCGTTGTTGGATTGGCTAATCCGGGGTTTTCTTGATTTGAAGGTAACAGTATTAATAGTAGGTTAAGTGGTTAAGTATATTCTGTTCGTTAGAGAGGCTTGGAGTCCTCTCACTATATTTAAAAAAATAGTCTTAGATTGATAACTAAAGAATTATGGAAAGAGTAACTAAATACATAGGAAATATCTATGGTTATATAGTTGTTCCTTTCTTCCCTCCCACCTTGAAGTTTATTACAATATGCTACAATATGTTACAATATGTTACAATATGTTACAATGTATTACAATATGTTACGATATGCTACAATATGTTACAATATGTTACATCTTAGTACATCAATCCGGAGTTTAACCGTAATAGGTTACCTATGCTCCATCCTTTGTGATCCAACAAAGGTCCCTCATGGATGGTTTGTAACATTATACCCCTCCCCTTTGAATTTTTACCCTTAAAGATAAAAAAAAGGTATGCATCTTCTTCCTCCTTCATTTCTATGCCCATCGCACAAAAACCATATCTAGGAAGGTGTAAAAGTTAAGTATTCGTTCTAATCAACGGCAGGAACGCCATACTCGCGCCGACTACATTGAAACTCATGGTCGACCCGTCCTTCCTTGTTCCAACTGTGACGCTTCCGAAGAAGATTGCTTTTTGTCTACTAATTTTGGAGTCTATAACCACTGTACTCGTTAGAATCGAAAACGCTGCGACGTCCTGGAGATGAATGTTCTTGACCATGTTTCCCGGGCCCGTACTCATCTAGAACAAAAACGCAAAGATGCAGAAGACAAACTGATCCGTCTACAAGAAAAGATGGCAAAAAAGATCAGCAAATTACAGCAACTTCATCGCCAAGAAGACTTATTAAAAAGACGCGGTTTAGAATTATTAAAACTTAGTAAAGAACAGGATACCGAAGAAGAACAGGCCCACCTAGCAGAAGAACAGGCTCACATTATCGAAGAACAGGTCCAAGTCAAACGAGGACATGGCATTCCTACCTCTAAGACTTCTTCCTTAGCCTTCCCCTCCTCCTTATCTGGGATAAATTTTGATCTTGGCCCGATGTCACCGTCGACTGCGGCCGTATGGGCCTTGGTCGGTCAGGGTTTTGGCGGTGAAAACCCTCAATCAACCTCTGGACCCCATCACTCATAAGATGTTTCCGTGGTTCCCAGGTATTATTCTCCTCCGAATAGTCAAGCCACTTAATAAAGTACTCGATCTGACCATTAGTAATCCTAGAATCACGAATGGCTTCGACGTCATATTCTTCTGGGTTTTCTTTCAGTTCGATATTTCCTTTAAGTTTGGCGTCCCCAGGTACTGGTTCAAGCATAGCAATATAAAACACATTAATTCTTAATTTCATATTTATTAGTAATTATAGTCGATAATTTATTTTTGAAAGAGCCTCCTCAATTAAGAAGGGTCTTAGTTTCTTAAAATCTAATTTTTCACTTGGTCTTTTGGTTCAAATTTGAGATGTTTTTAATATAAAGTGTTGCTTGTCTCGTAAGAAATAGACCTTATCTCCCTTACGTAGAATTGGTTCTTTAATTCTTTTTTTATTATAATATATTGTTATTTTATGTTGTAGAAATTTAAGACGTTACTTGAACTTAACTTACAATATCAGGATTCTAACAGCAAACATTTCTGCTCTAGATGATACTGTTTCCAATTCTGGGGCAGCCTTGTTTATTAATGATTCCTGTTCTATATTTGCTTGTCATCCATACAGCACTTCCTGTGGTGACATCCCGGTGGTATCGCTGACCGAAATATTATATAAGGACATAGCGAGTGATAAGAGTTCCACCCAGTTATCCTGTTCATAGTCAACGTAACTCCATAGATATTATTCCAGTATCTGATTTAGTTGCTCCATTTGGCCATTAGTCTGAGGGTGAGTCGTCGTAGAAAGTTTCTGTTTGACCCCCAGTCTCTTTATTAGGCCAACCCAAAATTTCGAGATAAAGAGCTTATCTCTATCTAAAATAATCTTCTTTAATAACCCGTATCTACTAAAGACCTTTTCGATAAATTCAAAAGCCAAATCTTCGGCTATATAGGTTTCCTTAAATGGCACAAAGTACCCGTACTTCGTAAGTTTATCGGTGATAACCCATATGCCATCATATTCCTCCTTGGTTACCGGATGTTGTGATTTGGGTAGTTTGGTGATAAAGTCCTATACAATAATATCCTATAGTCTGTCTGGAATGTTAATGGGTTGTAGAAGCCCATACGGTTTATATCTAGCTCCCTTAACCTTGTTGCAGATATTACAGTTCAAAATGACCTTCTTAACTATTCCCCTGATTCCCGGGAAGTCATATACTTCCTGTAGTCGTGTAACTGTCTTAAAGATTCCCAAATGTCCATATAGAGGATATTCATATACCTCTCATACAAATTCTTCCTATAATATTAACAGTATATAGGTTTTCCCATTATATAATACCATATCTTTAATGATGAAATCCTATATCGGTAGAATATCCTTAATTCATAAGACTTTTTTTTTGATCCTTTGTTCCCATTCATATTGTGATTTGATCAAATATACCGCCGACAATACTAGGGCGCCGTCGGACGTTTCCTAGAATATTACCCTTTCTTTTCTGACCTCTTTAATACTAAGACCCTCTAGTCTACTGAGAATGTCCACCTGAATATTCTCTTTTCCCTTAATATAGTGAATCTTGAAGTTAAAATACGTAAGATCATCTACCCACCGTGATTATCTACTACTAAGAACCTTAATAATCATAAGAAACTTAAGATTACAGTGATCCAAATAGATCTCCAAAGGTTCAACAGTTCCTAATACCCATGGTCTCCACTCCTTCAGTACTTGGTAAATAGCCATTAATTCTTGGTCATATATTTTATATCTCACTTCTGATCCCTTAAAGGTTTTGGAAAAATAGGTGATTGGGTGTTATTTTCCATCATCTTCTAGTTGCTCCAATGTTGCTCCCATTGCTCCATTCGAGACATCGGTATGTAGTTGTTTCCTCTTGTTTGGGCTGGGCAGCCTCATTATTGGATCTTTTGTTACAATCTTCTTCATTTCTTGGAATGCTTTTTCTGCTTCTTATATCCATTTAAAATCCTTTGGATTTTTGACACATATTATAGCCATTATTGGTTCCATGATTTTCTTGAAGTCCTTAATTAGGGCTCTGCTGTAGTTGTAGAAACCATGGAAGGCTCATACTCCCATGATGGTTTCTGGGGTTGGCCATTCCCTTATTGTGGATATTTTGGATTTCTGGATTTTGATTTTTCCTGGAGAGATTATATATCCAAGATAATCAAATTTTTGGACGAAGAAGTCACTCTTGTCTAGGTCTACAAGAAACTTAGCTTCTCCTAAGGCCTTGAATACCTCATGTACATCCTTCTCATGTTATTTTCTGGTTCTTAAATGGATTAGAATGTCATCTAAATATACAAAAGTACTCTTTCCGAGGAATTATCATAAAACATCCTAGATCATTCATTGAAAGATGGCTAGCACATTTATAAGTCCAAATGGCATCACCAGACATTCGAAATAACCGTGCAGTATTCTGATAACTGTCTTCCACTTGTCTTCTTCAGCAATTTGTATAAGGTTGAAAACGAACTTCAGATCCAATGATATGAACCATTCATCATCACCTATTTCTTCTTTTAGGTTCTCAATATGTGGTAGAGGATACCCATCTTTAACCGTGATCTCATTCAGTTATCAATAATCATAAACATCCCTCCATATTACTTCTCCTTCCTTATTTAACTTAGATATCCCATCCTTATTCTTCTTGGGTACTAAGAAAACTGGGTATCCTGCTAATAATTTTGATTTTCATATAAACCCTCTTACCTCCTTATCTTGGAATATAACGTATAGGGCTTCGGATTCGTTCTGGCTTAATCTGTAAACTTGGTGTAGTTTTGGATATTCCCCTTCCTTTAATATTATTTTATGATCATATCAACTGTATTCCGATACGCCTGTATCCGTATCTGGATTATCCTGGAATAACTTTGGAAATATTTTTATATATTTTTCTTTGATTTTGATTTGTTTTTAGTCGTTTGATTCTTTGATATCCATGTGTCGTATCATAAGGCATAGAGGTACGGAATGTTCCTTCATGAGGTTGCCTATTTGCACTTGCTATAATTGCTATTTCGATTCGCTTAAGTCGACCTCTTTCCAATACTCAGGGGTTGAATCTTTTTCTGACTCGTCCCAATAGAATCGATCCTATACCCAGTCGATTCTTAGGTTACTAACTCTAAACCACATCTTCCCCAAAACTAATTCGTAGTTTATGTCAACAAGATCGAAAGATACCAACTCCTAATGTCCTTAGATCAAGACAGAGAAAACTACAGTTTCTTTCTTGATTTTTCCTTTATTGTAGGTAATGAGGCTTCCGTCGATGTTGCTGACTTGGTAAGGCATTTTCTTTTTTTGATATGATATTCCATATATATTGACTAATCTTGGATGGATTAAATTGATTGTATATCCTGAATCAATCAGGGCATTAAATTCGTATTCTTTCCATATTATCTTTACAATTAAGTGGGATCCCTTAACTATTCCTATTGAATATGTTGGCTTAACCTCATTTAATATCATCTATAGGATTTTTAGTAGTTTTTCTATCATATCCTGTTGTTTGTTAATTGTATCGATCATTCCTTGTGACAGGTTTATTAGTTATTCGATTCTTCCTTGAAAAGCCACAGTCTTGCTTTCTAAATATTATATTTCCCTTTGAGACTGATCAATCATCTCCCTATATCGTAATAATATCTGTTCATAATGTCCACCCAAGACAGCATTTAGATACTAGGCCACTTGCTTCAGATATCTGCGAACAGATTTAATTAAGGTAATTTTGCTTTATTTTTCCTTATAAAGTACTACATGGGAGACCCTATGCATATTCCTATAACATTGTTGTGTGAATTCCTGGTTCCATCCGTTTCTGATTACCCCCTTATAATCCAAATCTTCAAATGTTTTCAGGGTAAATAGTTCCGGTATTCCTTGTCCTTTGAATATTCTTCTAGCGATGTTTCTATGGGTTCTCCCGCGATTCTGTTTCTTACGTTTTTGGGTCCGTACTTCGTCGCTTTTAGACGTATATCTTGGGTCCATTGGGTCACCAAGATTATAATAATAATAGTCTATTTGCTTAATTAGCCATGTGTGGTATACCAATTCCGGTTTGGGGGTTCGATTCTATCCTTCTTTATTATTAGAATCCCATCGGTCCTATACTACTTGTTGGTGTAGTTGCGTTTTATTGAAGTGTGTTAGAATAATATTTTCATCTGGTAGTAGTATGGTAGAGATGTTTTGGTTGTTAATCTGTACTGAAAACATTACTTCTCCTTCTACTTTTCCTTTCATGTTCCAGTCCACGTTCCATAATGGCCTTTGTTTATTTGAAGAAGAGTTGGATTCCTCCGAAGAGACATTCGTTTCTTCCTCCTCGGAGTTCCTTATGCCTATCGCACCAAGATTTCATAACTGATTCATTTGGTCCATGAAACTCTCCATTTCTGTTTGTTGGGTGGCTTCGTTATAGTCTGGTGGTGGGTTTTCCTGTTTTTTTTCTTCTTTGAGAATGTCGAGTATTCTTAAGGTTAAGGATCTCAATGTTGTTGTTGTTGTATTGGTTGATCTTCCTTTTGGGATTTGTGGCTGTTTCTTGGGTTTCTTGTATTGGCTCTTGTAGTGTCTCATTTCCTGGTAATTGTAGTACTTGACCTTGCTCAAATCCTTTTTGGATTTCTTATCGTTACTGACTGCGTTTAGGTTCTGAATCTTGGCAGGTTCCCTTTTTCCCTGATTTTTCGTTACTTTGGAGCCTCTCTTTTTCTCATTATATCTTTCATATGACCTATTATCGTGAAGAATTGCCCTGGTTATATATTCGTTGATGGTGGCAGGTTGTTCCTTTTTGGAGAGTTCATCTTTTATCCAGGTAGCTACTTCCTTATAGAGGTAGTTGAATTGTGTATCTTTGGGTAATTGCCTTATAGCTGCAAGTTGTTTAAATTCTGTCACGTAGAGTGTAGCTCGTCCCTTTTGTCTGAGGTGATGGATGGCCTTCCGTGCTTCCTCCTTTTTGAGTGGTTTG